GGAGACCCCAATTGCAATGAGAAGGCCATCCACATTGCCATTCCCCGAGTCTTTGGCAGCAAGGAGAGAGTACAAAAAGAAAATGAGGGCAGCGTTGTTTCCAAGAGCGTTTCACCATCCCTCTTCCCATAAAAGCTCCTGTTGTGAGTTGTATCGTGTCCCCTCCGCCCAAAAATCCACACGTTGAAGTACGTTAGAATGTGATCTTGTTTGGAAATAGGGTAATTGCAGGTATAATTAGTTGAAGACATGAAGGTGGGTCTTAATTGAATATAACTGATATTCTTATTTATAAAGTATGACAATTAAGTTTGAGAACTCATCCTAAAAAAAGTGCTACATACCTCACTGCTGAATATTACTATGGTCACCTTCAAAGTACTCCCCTTGGGAAGCTATGCCCCACTGCCGGTGCCTAGTCTACCTGTTAAAACAATTTTGGAACTCTTTCTGAAATGGCCATCAGAGCTGCCGTCACGAGAATAGCAGTGTTTGAATGAGAACAAAGAACAAACATTAAATTTCTTGTTAAACTTGGCAAGACTGGAAGTGAAATCGGGGACATGTTAGTCCAAGTTTATAGGGATAATGCCATGAAAAAAACGGCAGTGTACAAAAGGATTAAACATTTTTCAAAGGCGAGAGAAAACATCACTGATGAAGAGAAGAGTAAGGATGTCCAGGAACAAGAAATGAAAAAATAATGCAAAAATTTGACAAATTGTGCATCAAAATCATCGGATGACTGTGAGAAGCATAACGGACCACATAAACATCAACAGAAAAAGAGGAAAGTCTTAACTGAAAATCTTGGCATGAGAAATGTGGACACAAAAATGGTCCTGAAGGAGCTCTTGTATCACGACAATGCACCAACTCACACCACACTGTCTGTGAGGGAGCTTTTAGCCAGCAAACAAATAACTGTATTGAAACACCCCCCCTACTCACCTGATCTGATCCCCAATGACTTTTTTCTTTACCTGACATTAAAGGAAATATTGAAAGTTTGGCATTTTGATGGCATTCAGGATACCAAGGGTAATATGATGACAACTCTGATGGCCATTCCAGAAAAAAAGAGTTCCAAAATTGTTTTGTTGAGTGGACTAAGTACTGGCATAGGTGCATAGCTTCCCAAGGGGGAGTACATTGAAGGTGACCATAGTAATATTCAGCAATGAGGTATGTAGAACTTTTTCTAGGATGTCAGACTTCATAAAAAGAAAGAACTTTGGACACACACACACACACACACACACACACACAGAATGTCATGTGAAGATGGCAAGATTGAGGTGATGCTTATACAAGTCAAGGAGTGCCAGACTGCCAGGAAACCACCAGAAGCGAGGGGAGAAGCCTGGGACAGATTCTTCCCTGCATCCCTCAGGAGACACCAACTGTGCCAACACCCTGATTTCAGACGCCCAGCCTCCAGAACCTTGAGGCAATACTTAAGCCACTCAGTGTGGTACTTGGACACAGCAGCACTAGCAAACTGATACATCTCCAGAGATAGCTCCTCCTGGTGCCAAAGAGGACATCTCTGTCCAGATGAAAGGGGGCAGTATAGTTATACAGGAAGGGTGGGAGACATGTGAAAACTCTGAAAAGGCCACCAGTTTGGCGAGGCTGTCTACCTTGAACTATCCTGAAAAAGAACATTTTGAACACAGCCCTATTCACAGTCTCTGGATTCTTAGAAACATCATTCATTTGCCATCATTTTATATCATGTGTTGTTTCTTTGTGATTTTTCCTTCCACATGTGTCCATAATCTGTTTTGCCAGCTTGACTGTCAAACTCTTTTAGGGCTGGGACCATGTTACAAACCCACCTGGGAGTCAGGTGGTGTCTGATGAAAAGTCTTGGTGTGACCTTAGGCAGGCTGCCTTTCCTTTCTGGGCTTGCTTTCCTTGCCTGTAGAGGAGAATTACCATCCCCAAACTCCCTCCAGTTATGATATCCTTTGATTCTGATTCCACATATGCTTCTTATATAACCCAAAAGCATATATTGCCTCCTTGGAGTGCAGAAGGGAAGGAAAGGCCTAGGAAACTCATCTCTTCGATGTGCTGAGCACACAGTCATCTGAGATTAAGCATTTCTTATGGGCTCTAGACCTCAAAATGCTTGGGGAGCAATGTATTAATAGGACTCTGGGGGCTCCAAGCTCCACTGGACTCCCTTTCAAGACGCCAACATGCTCCTGCTTTGGCATCTGCCTTTCTGGAAGGCCACTCTCTTAGAGACTGCTAGAGCTTTCTCTTCTTTTGATGAAGGTTTGTAGCCCTGGGTGCTCTGTTGCATGTGTTGGGCAGCATGCCCATGGCAGGGTTGGGCTCCTGCATACCTTTTAGAAGACTCCTATCTCTGCTCTGGGGGTTGGAGGAACATCATCTTTCCAATTGGCTATGGTATTTTGGGCAAACCACTTTTTGTGTCTTACCTTGGAGGGACCACAACCTGCCTCAACTCTGCTATTAAGAAGCATGAATCTAGCCAAATAATATTTAAAGATTTTTCTAATAGTAAACACCCCAGAGACATGGATAACGTAAATATTGCTTTTTTGGTTCTAGGAAATAGATTTACAGAGACCAGTTCAAGTAATGACTGTGGAATAATGTAGGAGTGGAGGTTGAGATCTTATTATAAAGTGGTTATCTAAGACTAGAGACTACCAAACAATGACAAATTTCAGAGAACCTGATTCTGAAAGATTATCCTAGTCCTGCAGACCTCACTCTGGCACTCTCATTAATACCACCCAGCTACTCCCCAGAAGTCAGCTTCCCTCAGCTTCTCTCAGTTGCACTTCCCTATTCTAATTCTCTTAGTTTTTTTCCAAAGCCTGTCTCTGGTAGAACACAAGAAAATGTATTATCAATTATTACTATGAGTGAGATAGAGAAACAGAGACTCGGATTCTGAGGGCAGCAGCCCATTTCTCCAAGAATCCTGAGGCCTAATAGTGGAATCAAACTGGTTAAAGTTCTACCAACACACAATCAGTTGTGTCATCTTAGACAAGCTGAACACTTTTCAGCAGTGTGACCCTGAGCAAGTCCCTGCCTCCACCCTTTGAATCTGGTTTTCCTTCCCTCAAGGCTGGGCAAGGAGCAGGAACCTGCTGTCTGCTCTCTGCCCCAGTCTCTGGGTTACAGGTAAGAGGCAGGATTCTTCACCTCTCTTGCCTCCGTTCCTTGGTGGGTCAGATGGGAGATACAAACCAGGTGATGTTCCGATCCATCCCTTCCAGCTCCTAGAGGGCTGCTTGATTCTAACCGCTCTGCCTCTCTGCCCCTTATACTACATGCCCTTAGGATCCCAGTCCTCAGAAACCTTTCCTCTAAAAACCCCACACTGTAGAGGATAGCATCAAGCATACTCTGTTTTAAAAGACACAAATTGGTGAAAAACCTGAGCTGAAAGGCCAAGCAGCTGGCAGAGGGTGGTGTGCCTTTCTGAGGCTCCCTGGGGCTTTGGGTGGCCAGCTCCCATAGGCTTCCCAGCACGTGCTCACGTCATGCCTTTGCAATAAAAAAAATTTGTATTCCCTTTGCTCTGGCTTATCTGTCTTGAGGAGATTTTCTTTTTATTATTGATTGTCAATTGGCTGCAGTTACGCTTTGATCGTCCCTTTTATTTAAATGGCCACCCACACTATCTGCCCTCAGCCCCCTAGTCTTTCTACTAAGCAGTAACGATATGCAAACAAACTTGGAGGTACTTTGGGGGCAAAGGGACCCTGGGGCCAGCCTCCCCCAGGCCTGTGAATTGTCATTCCTGAAGCCGTCTGTTTTGTAAGTTCTTCTGCCAAGTTTCTATGGGAGCAGAGGGATCATTTTCTCCCTTTTCAAAGAGCAGGGTGAGTTGAGGCCTTGGGCTGGCAAGTCCTTTAAAGTCACTTTCAAAGGAAACCTGAGCTGAAAGGCCATGCAGCTGGCAGAGGGTGGTGTGCCTTTCTGAGGCTCTCTGGGGCTTTGGGTGGTCAGCTCCCATAGGCTTCCCAGCACGTGCTCGGAGCCTGCCAAGGGACACTGCTTTCCAACCAGTAAGCCCACGGCCCCAAGGCGAGGCTCCACTTCACCTCCCCTCCCCACTGCCACCCAGGAACAGGAAGGGGGGTGGCTGCAGCGCAGGCTTCTCCTCTGGGCCAATGACCAGAACCGCACTTGTCCCCCCTGTTCTTAGGCCCTGTCAATCAAATTTGATCCTTGGGGTTTTTGAGGTAAGAGAAAACTGGGTGCCAAAGCAAGCTAGTGTGAACTTATGTCTGAATCATGGAATCATAAATGATCTAGTTAATCCAATCCTTTCATGGGCAGGCTGGGAAGGGGACCCAGAGGGGAAATGGTTTTATCAAGTCACCAGGGATCAGGTGGCTGAGTTCCACCACAGAGCCCTTCGGACAAAGAACCCTTCTGCAGGGATGGAGCTTTACTTAGTTGCTGGTCACTCATAAAGCTTCTGAGTCTACAGGTGTCTGTCCATCGCCCAGCAGACACCAAAAACTCAGCACTGAGGCAGTGTATGACTGGGGCCAGATGCCTTCAACCTGCCACCCCCTGTTGCCGAGTGGGGAGAAATTGTTTATGAAGCCAGGGAGCAAGATGAGTCTTCTCTCTTCACAGAATGGGGAAACTGAGGCCCAGAGGAATAAGAGTTGCATATCTGTTTAGAAGAGCTAGAACTGAAGTCATTCAAAGCCCTGTCCAGAACTGAGTGAGTGGTCCCTCCAAAATCCCCCATCTGAGCTCTTCATGACCAAGGTCTGGAGTCTGCAATCCACCCTGGTGGGAGCCAAATACAAGTTCATGCCACACTACCAGGAACAAGTCCTGACTTCATCTCAAAGAAATTCCTTTCTGACCTGGCACCGGGCAGCAGCCCCTTCCCTCCAAGAGCATTTCCCACCAGACAGGAGCTGAGGAAGCCAGACCCATTCAAGTCCCCATTTCAACACAAGGAAAGACCTCAAGAACAAGCCAGCTCGACTTTTCAACATTTTATTCTTATATTTGTACAGCTATATTTTACAACGCGATAATGCAGTTTAGACACAGCCAAACCCTGTCTCCGGAGTAGTTATAACACAAGCATGACGCAGAATGGGATGAGACAAACATTCCCAAAGAGAGTTTAGTTAGTGACAACTTCAAGTCCCTGTGTCTGCCTATACTTCAAAAAGGGATGGCACGCTTGTCCATCATCGAAAACTTCCGTGAAAAAAGGCACCGTGAAGACACGTTGTACACATATATACAAACTGAAAACTTGAACAAAATTACACATTTTTCCTTCTGCAGCTTTTTTTTGTTCTTTTTGTTGTTTTTTAATACACACTTTGTAAATTGTAAACCTTCACTTGCAAAAAAATACAAATACACTGAGGCATTTTAGACAAAATATTTTCTTACTTATACAGATGCAATACTTAAAATATTCTCTTAAGTGCTCTTTCTCAATAAAGATTCTCAGATCCGTGTCTGCCTGCAGATACAAAATCGAGCCTTTAACGCAGTTTTATATTTTTAATATATCTTTTTTAAGTTTATATATATTTATTTTATATATATATATATTTATATATTTACAACTCTGCCATATATTCCTTCACCTTTGGTTAAAAAAATTAAAGCCCTCTCTTTGATAACATACCGAAGTCTTGTCTTTTAAAAGAATGCACATTTACATACAAAAGAAACATCTGTTCCCACAAAACATATACATTCCTCATTTTGCAGACTGAGTCAAGTCAGAACTTTTGCATACTCCTCCACTTTGATCTATAAAATGGTTTTGCTTTTTGCTGACATGGTTCGCCTTACACGTAGGAGAAGAAGCAATATTATTTTCTTAATGTTTTATGGCAGTGGGGGAAGGAGAGCTGCCGCGGCTCCCAGTCCCCCAGGCCCCGGCCCCCACCACCCTCCCACGCCCAGCTATGATTTGCACTAGTGGATGAAAGAGGCACTACATCATGGGATGAACATCATAAAGTGTTACAGTATCCTTTGGGTAGATTCTGAGAAGGGGTTGGAAAGCATCAACACTCCATGCTTCAGCAGGCTTTGGGGAGCTCCGGAGGCAGGTCAGTGGCTGACACGCGGTATTGCACCTTGGTGTTGGTGATGGCGCCATGCTTCTGACGCAAGTGAAGTCGCAGCTGGCTTTTGTGACGGAAATGCAGGTTACACTTCTCACACTGCAGGGATACCAGAGGCAAACTGTTAGCTGTCATCAGTCCTAGAAACGTGTCACACTGCTCAAAGACCCAGAGAAGGAGATTCTCCCTGCAAGGGATTGGGGCTGCACTTCCCTTGCAAGGGCCAAATGAAGAACCCATGTGAACCCTGGCTTCTGCCAAGAGATAAGTAAGCTTTGTGCAAATGTCCCTTCCCTGCTTTCCAATGTGTCACTGTGTATTTCCCTTGCTTGAGATGTCCTTTCCTGTTTTAACTCCACAAGTTCAAGTCTTACCCAAAAACGCAGTTCAGATGTAAACTTCCGTAATTATTAAGGCATTCTCTTGAGGATGAAATAATTCCTGTTTCCTTTAAACTTCCATAAGATTCCCAGCCTTGCCACATAGCCATCCTTGTGCATGGATCCTTTTTAAGTGGATAACACTTCGAGGGCAGTGACCACTTTTTACTAAACTATATTATCTTCCTAGTACCTCGCAGCAGATTACGCAATGAATCTAAACAAACTCGGACAAGAGGACTAGACTAGTCTAAATTCATGGAACTTCTGGAGTATAGGATGCAGTCAGTTATGTTCCTTTCTAGGGTGTATATATTAGATAAGCTAACAAAGCATTAGCAAGTAAAACTATTTCTTGATTTGATTCACTTAATGGGTGATAATAGTTACTTTAGATAAAAGTTACTTAAAAGTAAAATGGATGACAATGAATGGGGTAAACTAGATGAGATCTTAGAACAGAAAAAGGATTTTTTTTAAGGTCAAACATAAGAAAATCCAAATAAAGTATAAACTTTATAATTACATATCAGTAACGGCACATTAGTTGTGACAAGTTATGAAACTAATGCAAGATGTTAACAATAGGGGGAAGGGGTGCATATGGGAACCCTCTATAAAATCTTTTCAACTTTTCTACAAATCTCAAATTATTCTAAAACAAAAAGTGTTCAGATAGAGAATGTTTCTAAGTGAAAATGGAAATCAGTTTATAAAAATAAATATTAATTAAATGAGCAGGGCAGTGTGTAAAAAAGCCCTGGTCTTGAAAGACATTGGGTCTACTGTAGCAAGGCCACCCATGGCTGCATGTCTCAAGCACGTCCTTTCTCTCTCTGGGCCTTGGAGCTCCCTTCTGAAGGGACTGGGTCAAGACACACTGAAGGTCATGTTCAACCCCGATAGCCTATGCATCTAAAATTCTGGCTATTCATTATAATAGCAGATCTTCATTGTACTTTTACTATATACATCCTGAATACTTTAATGAATCAGTTAACTTAATACTGCAACTCTATGAGGTAGGTACTCTTATTAAGCTCATTTTACAGATAAGGAAATTAAGGAACTAAGAGGACAAGTAATTTGCCCAAGAACCCACAGCAAGTAAGAAGATAGTCACTCTAGGCTTAATAAACCAGTGAACAAAAATAACCATGTTTTGCAGGTTATCATCAGGAATGTGGGTTAATCATTCATTGGATGGTTCTTGTATCCATCACCACATAGAATGAGGCCATAAACCCCTCAAACAATATCTGAACAAATGAGCAGGCTGTGTTCCGATAACACTTTACTACGAACACTGAAGTTTAAATTGTATATAATTTTCATATTTTGCAAAATAATCTTTCTTTATATTTAAATGTAAAGGCCATTCTTAGGTCACAAAATGTCCACCCATTAGTGTAGAGGCTGTGGTTGCTGGAACCCTGCTCCCGAACACTCCCATCCCAGTGGCTTGTCCAGGGCATTGTGCTGCACAGCTGGCCAGCATCTCTTTCTTAAAACGGCCTTCCCTCTGCTTTCTTTTTTTTTCTTATAGCATTATTAGTTCTTAGAAACATTATTCTGGTCTCTTCCTACTCCTAAGACTGCTCGTTCTCAAATATCTTAGCAGCTCTTAAATGCACATCTAGCCCAGCGTGGGGCGTGCTATAGAGGCACTCAATAAGTATTTGTAGAATGAGTGAGTGACCCCCAAATCTATGCATTCATAGTCTGAACTCCTAGTCCAATACCCCTCTTTTATTTTGTATTTTGTATGCCTTTAATTCTATATTTATGAACAATACTCCTATTTCATAAATGAGCCCCCTGAGACTCAGACCAAGGTCAAGCAGGATATCTGACCATCAGGCTCAGTTCCAGGTCTTCTGACCTTTAGCTCAGTGGCCGTCCACTGTGTGCTTGAGATTGGAGCAGACAGTTCTGCTGCCCCACCCCGCCCCACCCCACTCCACCTCACCACCTCCATTCCCCAGCAGGCCAGCTACAGCAGCCCCAAGAGGCTTACGTACATGGTAAGGTTTCTCTCCCGTGTGGATTCGCAGGTGGCTCTTCAGAGTCTGAAGGTGCCGGAAACGGGTGCCACAGATTTCACAGGGATAGGGCTTCTCACCAGTGTGGATAAGCACGTGGGCACGGAGGTGGGCCACCTGAACAGAGGAGCAAAGTGTGAGGCATCTTCCAGGTGGGCTGCAGACCTCCAGGCAGCCCCTTACCAGCACGCTGAGGCTGAGGGGTTCTTTCTCCATACTGTCCTGCTTACCTGTACAAATCTGGCTCCGCAGGTTTCGCATTTGTAGGGCTTCTCTCCAGAGTGAATTCGAGTATGGGTTTTCAGGTTGGCTGGCCGGTTGAACTGGGCCCCACAGATGTTACAACGATAGGGTTTCTCACCTATTATCAAGAGAAAGGGGCAAAGGAAAGCCACATTCAATGGAGAAATTCTCCACAGTTTCTAGCTCCCAGATTTCAAAGCAAACTGCCCCTCCATGAGGTCATTTGTGCTTTCGTTTTCCTTGATGGGTGTCAGAGAGAATCCAGGGGCCTGCCCCAGCCTGCCAACCCTCTCACACACACAGACCAGTGCACCTTGCAGGGGACTAGGTCAAGAGACAAGTGATAGCATGGAGTGAAAACAAAACCAGCTGGGCTCGGTGGCTCAGCCTGTAATCCCGCACTTTGGGATTGCCTGAGCCCGCAGGTTCGAGACCCGCCAGGGCAACTTGGCAAGACCTCATCTCTACAATAAATAAATAAATAAATTAGCCGGGCGTGGTAGCGTGTGCCTGTAGTCCCAGCTACTTGGAAGGCTGAGGCTGAAGGATCTCCAGAGCCCAGCAGGTCGAGGCTGCGGTGGCCGGGAGCAGCCACTGCACTCCAGTCTGGGCGACAGAGTAAGACTCCAACTCAAAAAAAAAAAACAAAACAAAAAAACAAAACAAAACCAGGGTGGCTTTTTTTTTTTTTTTTTTGTATAGGGGGCAGTCCCAGGAAGCCTGGGCATTAGAACCAGCTTCGTAATTAGGATTATCTGTGAAACCTGGAAAAGTCACTCTCCTTCTCTGGGCCTCAGTTTCTATCTCTGGAACCTGAGGGGTTACTTTAGATGACCTGTGAAGACTCTTCTAGCTATTTTCTTGGATAAGACTGATTCAGTCATCAACTCACTCACCAAGGAGATACAATCAGGCTGCTCTAGTTTCTCTCTTTTAGAACAAACACACTTTTCTGCCTGTGGCAGCTCCAGCTGGACTCCATTTTGCAAGAGGTATGGGGATTGGGTTTGAGTAGATACTCAGGTAGAGAAAACCAACAGAAGGGCTGAGCTTCATGGAAAGTTTCTGGGATAATAGAGTCACTTAAAATACCAAGAGAGTAGATTTTGTAGGCTGAGCATGGTGGCTCACACCTGTGATCCCAGCTAGGGATTTTGGGAGGCCAAGGTATGAGAATCACTTGAGCCCAGGAGTTCAAGACCAGCCCAGGCAACATAGTGTGATCTCATCTCTACTAACAAATAATTAGTTAGGCATGGTGGCACGTGCCTGTAGTCCCAGCTACTTGGGAGGCTGAGGTGGGAGGATCGCCTGAGTCCTGGAGTTTGAGGACGCATTGAGCCATGATTGTGCCACTGCACTCTAGCCTGAGTGTTGGAGTAAGATTCTTGACTTAAAAATAAAAAAAGTACTAAGAGAGTAGATTTTAAAGAACAATCAGGCTATGAAAAGCATACCATAAAGGAAGGTTAGTTGATAAGGCACATGTCCTTGAAATCAAGAGGCCTTTACTTTTTTTGCCGGCTTTACACAGACCTAGTCTACTTTGACTCCGTCAGCCTTAGTTTCTTCACCTGTACAGTGGGATTAACACTTCTGACCCCAGCAAAGGCAAGACAGAATGTCTCAGAGGAAAGACAAGGAACATAGGAAGTAGATAAGTAACCAAGCAAAGACAAGACAGGATTAAGCCCTTCTTTCAGGCCAGGACGGACCCTTGTCCCTGCCTCACTCCACGAGGTCCCCAGGTCCCACACTGCTTTCTCTGGGACCTTCTCCCTGCCCTGCCCACAATAATTTTGGAGAGCTCAGGTAGTGTGAGGCAGGACCATACCGGTATGAACGGTCTTGTGGCTGGCGAGGTTGCCCTTGTAGCGGAAGGAGGCCTGGCAGCGGTCACACTTGTAGGGTTTGTCACTGTGGGTCTGCAGCGTGTGCCTCTTGAGTGAGGCCTCCTCAGAGAAGCGGCAGTCACACTCATTGCAGAAGAAGGCCCCATTCTCTGTTGGAGGGGGACACCAAAGTCAGCACAAGGAAGGGAGTTTGGGCTCTAAGGCCACCCTCTTCTGGAACTCTCCCCTGTGCAAAAATGAGCCCCTCAACCCCTCACCCACCCAACATTCATCGGACTCAAGAGTAAAGGACCTGTGGGGATTTCGTCTTCCTTAGCATTTAGAGTCTTAGCCACAGAGGAGGGAGAAAAGGAGACAGACTGAATACTGAGGTACAGAAGCTCTAAACAGTAGGCCCTCATACAGCTGGCACTAGTTTGAGGAAGGCTCAGCAGAGTTTTTCTTTCCCCAGGAGGTCTGAGAACTGACTTAAAAAAAATCAATTCTTAGCTTTCTTTACATTTATACACAGAAGGCCCTAGACAAGACCCCTGACCTCTCTGAGTCTCTTTCTGTATCTCTTATCTCCAAAACCAGGATAGTAAATGCCTATCCTACCTACCTCACAGGAGCACATTACATTACACAAAATAAAACACAAAGCAATACAGGAATGTAAGATACAGATAAAATTTGATTATACTCTGAGTTCACTAAAGGAGGAATGAATGATAGATATTCCATGGTCAACCTGGCACCTTATCTGGATTTCATGTCTCCCGAGCCAAGCTGATGCTGGAAGTGGAAACAGAGGCCCAGAGAAAGGGAACTGGAGTGCAGAGCCAGGGCAAACAGGCAGGGGGATGGAAGGGGAGAGTCCCTGACCTCCCAGCTGTAAGTCCATGATCCTGTGCCAGACCTCTTGGTGTAAGCAACTGATTTTTTCATTTGTTACAGCAATTTGAAAATGACAAGGCATGATGATTTGACCCTGATTGGGTGCTACTGTGCTGTTGTACTATAGCTGGGGTGGGGTGAGGAGTTAGACTTTTTTATCTGGGAAAACATCAGAATGCCAATCACCAACTATCCAGAAATTTCTATTGAGTCATTCCCAGTTCAACTATTTTAACTCAGCTAACATTACTGAGTATCTGCTCAGTAGCTAATAGGGACTTACTAGGACCTATGGGAGATGTAGGAACGAATAAGGTCAGATGCTTCTCCTTATAGGATCTACAGCCTAGCAGGGAGAACCAACATGCATACAGATCCATACCAGTGGGTTTGGCACAGAGGGATGGAGAAAGCTCTGGGAGTTAAAGCCAGTCCCACAAGCTACCTTTGCTGGAATGAAGCCGAACAGACAGTTTGGTCAATCTCCGTTATCCCACATTAACACTTATAACCCATCCCTTGCTTTGGGGTCAGTCCAGTTCCCTAAAAGGTCAAGTGTGAAGTGATGGACTAGGGACCTAAAGTGCCAGAGGACTTCCAACTGGGGACTTCTCTCAATCAGAGACGGCAGTGTAAACAATATGGAAACATAAAATTCATGGAGCGGAGGGGTGTTCTCTCTCCCTGGCAAGGGGAGGGAGGGAAAGGGACTCACCACAGCTGGAATCCGAGTATTCAGACTGGGTCTCTCCCATCTCCTCAGGGAACGTGGGGCCGGCGGTGTGGAGGCACATCTCCGCGTGCTGTGGGGACTGAGAGCCGCAGGATGTGCACTTGGGCGGGTGCATGTACAATGGCGAGTGGCTCTCACTGCTGCTGCGGGGGGAGCCTGTCAGGGACCTGTGGGTGGGAGAAAAGAGGATCAGTGCTGAGGGGCAGGGCCTCAAGGCCATACTTTCCTCCCTATGCTTTGGCAAGCCCAGAGGCCAGTGCTAGGCTGCCTGCTCTGGGGCCTCAGAGCTTTTCTGAAGCCTACCTGCAACATCTGTGGAAAGATCACTGACCAAGGTTCAATGGAACCAAAATCCTATTCTAGTGTCTTCCCCTCACAACTGTAGCCTATAGCCTCTCTCAGTCTAAGGGTAGTATGAGGGTTCCCTGACACATCAAGAACACAGGAAGCACCTGTTGGATTTCTGGAATGATCTTCTACCACAGAAGGAAAGTCTCTCTCTTGGTAGCATGAAAAAATATACAGTACTTAAGTGTATTATACTTCTTTACTTAGGCTACTTTAATCAATAGGCTCTGATGCCACACTTCAAATAGGCTCAGTAATTCAGGCAAGAAAAGAGCACAGCCCCTGCATCCATCAGAAGAAATGAGCCCGGAACCCTGCCCAGGTAATCCCTGGCCTCTGACCAGGACTGTCTCTGAAGTCACCTGTTAATGATGTTATTGAGCCGGCTGGCTTGTGGGATGGTGGAGTCTTCTCCGCTGGCACTGAGCTTGGTTGGAGACTGGAGGTCAAGGTTCTCAGGCTCCATGGGTGGCTGGCAGGCAGGTGGAACAGTGTAGGCTCGCGGGGAAAGGCGGCCCAGTTCAGCCTGCTCAGGCCCCTCTGGTTTGGCATTCTGGTTGAGGCTGTTGAGCACGATGAACTTGTATTTCTTCCAGTTGCAGGCTTTGGGGTCAGTGGGACTCTTGGCTGGAGGGGAGCCAGAGGTCTGGAGGATACAGGCATTCTTGCTGCTGCAGGACTCTGTGGGTGAGTTGGGCTGGCAGTCGGATTTCTGGGGACTCTGGGGACTAACCAGGCCTTTCCGGTTCAGGGATGCATTGGGGGACTCAAAATGGAGAGCAATCTCATCCTCAGAGGAAGGTCTCTCTTCTTCTTTGCTGGCCTTGTCACAAGGAAAATATGAGACATTTCGGGCTGAAGGAGCAGCAGGCTTGGGACCCTCAGCCACACTGTAGTGCATGTCACTTCGTGCCTCCTCTGGGATGGTCTCCTTGGGTGAATAGATGTTGCTGTGGCACACACTGGGGGACACCTCCATGGCCGGCCGGCTGTACTCACTGGGGACTGGCCTGGTACTATCACTTGGGGAAGGGGTTGGCCACAGGCTGCTGACCGGAAGGTGGCTGTACATGGGATAGGAGGCTGGTGGTGTGGACAGGCCACTATATAGGCTGGGGGCAAAGGCTCTGCTCTCACACCCAGGGGCGTTCCTCAGTGGCAGGCTGTTCTCCACCACCTCACGACCCCGATAAGCCATGATGTCTTGGGTCATCAGCATCCGGTTGTTCAGGAACTCTTCGCGAGGAGGCTTGATGGCAGGAACCATCTCTGCTTCACTACGGGAGACAAAAGAGAAAAGACATTGGCTCCAAAATCAGAACTGTTCAACAGATGACCTTCCGGTGATCTGTTATATAACTACATCTGTGCTTCACATACAGATGTGGCTCAGGAGTAAGGAAATATAATTACAAAGCATTTATGCTAGAAGTCTGGTGATCTAGCCTACAGTTGGGAAAACTGAGGCACAGAAAAGGGAATTCAGTCACCTGTACAATCTGTGCCTGATTAGATATCATCTTGTACATTTAAGGCACATATCTATGCATGTGTGTGAATGTATAATGCTTCTGTGCTACAGTGATATTCTTAAAGTGATATTCCTGAAGCCCTTATCTGATTTCACCCAGGCAAAATCCTTCAAGGAAGGAAAGGCAGGTATTATTGTCTCCATTTTATACATGAGGAAACAGGGAGGGGAGAATTTATACAATGCTGGCACCACACTTTTGGAAGGTCATAGACAAACTAGTGCCCTACTGAAGAAAGGACTTGCCCACAGCCGGGCTCGGTGGCTCAGCCTGTAATCCCATGCTTTGGCAGGCTGAGGTGAGTGGAGTGTCTGAGCCCGCGGGTTTGAGACATGCCTGGGCAACTTGGCGAGACCTCATCTCTACAATAAAATAAAATAAAAAATCAGCAGGGCGTGGTAGTGCGTGCTGAGTAATTCCAGCTACTCAGAAGGCTGAGGCGGAAGGATTGCCAGAGCCCAGCAGGTCGAGGCTGGAGCGGCTGGAAGCGGCCACTGAACTCCAGTCTGGGTGACAGAGTGAGACTCCTACTCAAAAAAAAAAGAAAGAAAAAAAGGACTTATCCCATACACTGACTGAAGGGCTACCACAGAGAAGCAGCAGCAAATGCCAATGCAAGAGTCTCTGGCTCTAGAGCAGCCAGACCTGGTTTGCAAACCCAACTGTGGCACTTAGCAGCTATGTGACCTGGAGAACGTTACAAAACCATTCTTAGCACAAGGTCTGACCCACTGAAAGTACCTGTAAACAGTACCAATGATGATCTTGCCACCATTATCACTCACTGGAGACAAAGAGATCTAGTTGTATATACTTGAAGAGATATTATGTGGGCGAAATAAATAGGCCAGCTCATCATGATCACAGTTAACAGAGCTATAACCAACGAGTGAAGGTTCAAGGAGCCAGATTTCAACCTGCTGTAAAAACAGGCTCTCTAATTGTCTAAGGTAGACTGTGTGGTTCTGGGAACACTGAGTTCCTGGCTCCTAGAGGTGTTCAAATACAGGTTTGAAATCCCTTCTGTTTGAATAGGGAAGCAACCACCATAGCATGGCTGGATCAAGTGATTCTAAAGAAGTTACGCCTTGAGTCTCTGTTCCATGAGATTCAATTGGCAAAAGCCCTTCACTTCCTTGAGTCTCAGATTTCTCACCTTTTGAAAGGTGGTCATATCTTACCAGCCTTTGGACAGGAGTTAAACCCAGTGAACTCAATTCCATTCAATACAATAATTTTCCTCCCTAATAGGAGCAGGGTGACATAAAAGACGAGTAACCTTGAGCAGCCCACAGTCTGGTAGGGAACTAAGGCATATATGTAAATAGTTATAATAGATGTCTAAAAGAGAACTAAAATACATATGCAAATATTGAACAAGACGGAAGGTCCAAACGACAGGCAAAAATGCTTCAGAACATGGAGCAAGATTTGCAGGGGGAAGTGTGGTAATAAGAAAAACTTCCATGGAGGAGCTGGCCTCCAAAATGGGTGGGAGGAGAGGGCATGTTAAGTGACTGGAGGAGAGCAAGAAGTAGTAATGCACAGGACATATCTCTACGGCAGCAAGGAGTGAAGACTGCGGAGCACAAGGGTTAAGAAGTGCAGAAGTGGGCAAAAATAGCAGAAATGTAGGCTGCGGCATGTCATAGAGGACCAATTTTTCTGTCTGCGTGAAATATCGAGTTTCTGATTGGGGAGGATCTCTTCCATCTCCAAGGCTCACCTGGCCTTGATAAACTTCCGGCAAGTGTCCACAACATGTTCCATCTGCAGGTACATAGCTGTGGCCATCACAGCCATGATATTGCCTTCCCGCAGATTGAGCCGAGATGTGTACATAAAGTCCAGGAGGATGCAGAACCCCTCAGGGTTGATCTCAGGATCCAGATTGATCACACTAAGGTTGCATTTCAACTGGTCTGTGAAGATGCTGTAGAACAGGCCACTGTAAAACAGACAAATACTCCACTGTAGTAGACAGGTAGAACCTGTGATTGATTACAATCAGGGTTGAGGCTCCAGCCCTGCCCCCTGGGCCTAGCTCCAGAATGACTGTGGCAATTAGTAATCGCTGCTATTTATGGAGAGCTTACCAAATGTTACAGAGTCTCTAAGCACTTTATATATATTATCCTGTGTTCCTCACAGCCTTGCTAGTTAGGTACTATTATTCTCCACCTTTACAAACATAAGAACTAAGATCAGAGAGGTTAAGTGGTAATCTTCAAGTCACAGAGCCTGTTTTCCTTTTAGTTTTAGTTACTTGGATTACCAGACTTAAATTTAGCATTCATTTGCTTTTCTTAGTCTGTGTCTTTAGGATAATAATTTAAGAATTTCTCCTCTTGTTCTATTGTATTATTCTTATTTTAAGAATGCTATTGTTATTTTTTAGAAGTAAGTTGGATATGAATGATTAAATAAAAATATGCCTACATCTATATGCTACTTCTTTACCCAAAGTTCATAGATTATCAGGTCAATTATTCCCAGAAGATCCAAGTCAAACCTCAAGCCATGCCTCTGAGCACTATGCTATGTGATGGTAGAAAGAGTACTCAGTTAAAAATTAGAATTTTTGACTATCATTTTGATTCTTGAGTCTACTCTTTCTAAGTGGTTGTCAGAGTGAGCCAGACTTCCACCAGTAAGTAGCTATGCAACCTGGGATAAGATAAGATACTTAGCTTCTCTGCATCATGTTTACTAATCTTCAAAGTAGGAGGAACAGTAGTGACTGCCTTATACGATTGTGGAAAGAGTGAAAATGTAAAGGGTATAGAACGATGCCTGGTGCAGTAAGCACTCACTAAACATTATCTATTATTTTTGTAATTCTATAAACCTCTGTTCTCTCCACTATTAAAAAATAGTATATAGTAGATGTTGGATATAGTAGATGTTGGATAAGTTCTCTAAAAGCAGTAGAGATCCATGATTCATTTCACCTACCAGTGCCTTCCTTTTATCGTTTATAAAATAGTGGTAATAGTGCCATCCATAACACAAAAAGGCTGCTAGGAAGATCCAGGGAGATGATGTAATATAAAATTGCTTTGAAAACTTGAAATATTTGACAAACAAGAATCAGCTGGCTCACTCTCACTAACTCTTACATATATTCTGAACACCCATGGAAATATAATTGCCGTATAAAATAAAGGCAGTTACAGCATAAAAGAGCAAAATATTTCAAATTAACTTGCTTAAATTACTTAGAGACAGAGCAAGTTAATTTGAAGTCTTTGGTCACTTTTTCACTGGTTAGCTAAAGTTATTCTCCATGCTTGTCCAAAACACATCCTTTCTTGTGGCATTATGTGGTTTCTTCTTCCACTATGTCCACAAAACAGAAATTCTACCTTTTCTAAAAGACCATCGTTCATTCACTTCCTGGGGACCTACTCTGTCAGACCATATATGCTGAGATCTGGAGACAGAGTGAGATGTCATCATCCCAGATGCAGCAAAAGGTCTACGTGTTCTGCCTTGCTGGCTGTCAGCACCACAATCCTGCTTTTATTCCCCCACCCTTTTCTTCCAAACCCCTCACCTGCAGGCCATGAGAACTGTCTTATGGGCTCTAAACTGCTCACGGCTCACGACAATGACAACATCAGTCAAGATGTCTCGACTTCGGAGGCGATTAAGGTTGAGAAGAACATCACTGGCATGGCGGGTGAACTGGATACAGCTGTCAGTTGGTGAGGCCATTTTGTCTTCACCTGATCAAAGAGGCCAAAATCCTGTTAGTTCTCTAGAATTTGTTTCCTGCTTACCAGGGATACCAGGGTAGGTAGCTCAGTCTACTAAAGCACAGAATGCAACTCGGATCCCTTGTGTTTGATTTTTGAACAATTCATAGTCCAACTTTGGGCATTACTCTTCACAGTTGTAAAATGGGTGAGAATAATCTCTATTCAACAAGTTGGGATAGAAAGCCCTTTAGGGGAAAAGGAAACGAAATGAATATATGTTGAGTGTGTTTCCCACATACCAAATATTCTGCCAAGCATTGAGAAGCAGTGAGTATGTTGCAATGGAGAGAAACCACGTTTTGGAGGTATCAGACTAGCCTTGCCTTATGCTAGCTGTGGAATGTGGAGTAGGTTGTTTATTGTTTTGGGGCTTTGGTTTCTCAAGACGGGAGTAGTGATACCTATATGGTTAAAAAAAAATTAGAAATAGGTGCCTAGTATGTAGTAGGTGCTCAAAAGTCACAGCTATTCTTATCAGTCATTCCAGCCACTAAGAAACAAGTAAGCGAATGATTGACCATACAACAGTGTTAAGACAATCTAATGCAGAGGTGAAGGGGTGAGGGCTGGGAGAGATATAGAGTGAATTGGTTTTCCTTGTCTCATGTAATGAATGGTGGCAAAGTTCACAGAAACACATGCATTGGCAAATTCAAAAGAAACAGTTTGTCCCCAACACTTTAAAGCATATAATTTTATTTACTTACCCAAGGCCTTGCTTCACAGTCCAAAATTTTGCCTAAAATCTGTAGAAAAGAGAAGAAAGCAAACAGAAATTGATTTGGTGAATGTAAGATTGTCCACTATAGTCTTATTTTAGGACACATGCATTTAGTTTTGCTTTGATAGTTGCAGCCTGCCAGCTGGTGAGGCTTTACCACAAGCTAGCAAACATTTTCCAGTTCTGCTCTTACAGAAACAACAGGCACCCGAAGCTATGCAATAATCATGTTTTTACCCTGAGTACTGGGAATACAACTGCATATATTAATCACATACACATATATTTTCTTCCTCAAAGAAAAAATAATTTATACCATCCAAAAGGCCACTTGAATTAAAAAAAAAAATAAGAAAAGTTGTTCTTTCAACATTAATCATCATGATACTTCAGGGGCCCAAAAACACTGGGCACTATCTGAACCTGCTAAAATAGTATCTTTCAAGTCAGAATAAATCCCACAAGGCTGATAAGGTCAATATCTTTATCCCTATTTCACAGGGTTCAAGTGGCTTGCTCAGGACAAACAGCGAGGCAGTAATTCCTGACTGTGAAACATTGAGGACTGAACAGAATCTGCAGGATACGATCTGAAATGGCATGTCTACACATTCCTTGAGAACCTTTGCCCTCTTTTTCAAAGTTTCCTTTCCCTTCCCTACTGGGTCTCAGATCAGACAGAGCACTACAGCTTCCAAGTTTGAGCTTCTCCTGCTGGTGAAAGACTTAACTGTGTGGTTCAGCTGAGGACTGGCCAGGGTGCCCCAAACCTTAAAGAGATTTAATGAATTATGTGCCCCCTCTAAATTGCTCTCTCTAAAACAAAACCATTAAAAGCACAGGTGTAAGATTCTCATTTATGATCAAACGCAGGCTGCAAAACAAAACAATATTGGAACCATCTTTTTCCCCCTATTTTTTTTTTTTTAAAGCAGAGTCCTCTAGAGCTACTTTCCGGGTAAAGGGGCCTGAGGCCAGCAAGGTCATGTTAGGCCATGTAGATGGTTGGTGGCCTGGCCCTAGGTCTTCTGGCTCAAATTCCTGTCCCCTTTCCAAATCAGCCTACGTGCTGTAGAACATGCAAGACAGCACCCTGATGTGGGTGAATCTCATTTTTAAGTTCCTTCCCCCACACAAACACTTTGCCCCATTCCAGGCTGCTGAGTCTTACCAAATGAGCACTCTAAAATGAGAGGTTTCCTTGAGTCTGTAACCAAACACTCTGACATTTCTCTGTGGTCCCAAGTGCCAGTCACTCAATCCCATCGGCTCCAAGGTTAGTGTGTGCATGTGAGCAAGTGGTGACTGGGGAAGGGAGTAGGGGAAGGGAGAGGACAGAAAAGACAAAAGAAAAAACCTCCTCCTCTCCCCATCCCAACTCAAGATGTGCAAAGAGAGATATACTAACTTGATCCTAACCCAAGTTCAAAGAGTGTCTCCTTGCAAAAATAATGCTGAAGACACATATGAGTTTTATTTATAAACTTTCTCCTCTTCCCTCGGGGAAGAGATCCTCAAATACTTCTGGAATACCTAGGCTGTCTAACCAGCTTCAACCACCAGCTTGGTTGTGGATTTCCAGGCACAGACTTCTGGAACCACAGAAAGCCCAGATTTGCCATTTCATCATGACAAGTGGCAATGACTCCCTCCAGATGTGAACTGAAACAAACAAATAAAACAATTCCCCTGTGTCCACTGTCAGCTAGGCCCTGGGCTTTTCACTTAAGCATCTGTCTGGCAAAAAAAAAAAAAAAAATACATGCACATACATACATTGAGGCCCAGGTCCTTATTAAGTTAACTCTATCTTAGGAGGACCCACAACTACTGTGTGTGTGGGTAAAGGTGGGTGTGGGCAATGTAGCCCCCCCACCCCATGCTGTAGGTGTGGAAGCACCATCAGTAATTTTTTGTTTGATTATTTGTTTTACAGAGCTTTTAGTCCTTTGCTCACCCATAGCCTTGCTTTATTAGGGAGGAACCTGAGGTTTCAGAAGGTGAGCCTTGCCCAAGATCTCAAACACAATTTCTAGTAAAGTCTGAACAAACCCCTCTACTGCATTCAGGCACACCACCAATGCCACACACACAAGACTCATCCCACAAAAACAATCGCCAAGAGACCAGCGTGGTCAAGAAGAAACTGACAACTATATGGCCCCAGATCTGGACTCCCCGACTCCCAACCTCCACCCACCCCACTCCTGCTGTCTCAGTAACCACCAAAGGAGCGTTGAACGTTTTCTCCATCCTTACATCCTTTCTCTCCTTTGATGCTTTCCTGGTGTGTAGCCAACTAGGCACCTTGAGAAGGCAGATCCTCTAAAAGAGTTTCCCGTTGGAGGAAAATACAGGGGAATAACAACAAAAGCAAAGAGAGCAGGGAAGACAGCAGAAACAAGAGGGAGGGAGACAGAGAAGAGGGGAAAGAAAAGCAGAGCGAGAGGCGAGGTTAAGAGTGAGAGAGCTAGCCAATACGAAAGACCCCATCCTTTTCCTCCCTCCTCCACTGGGCTGGCACTGGGCAGCCCATTTTCTCGCTCACACATGGGAGCCCAAACACGAGCCCTGCGCGCCACGGCAAGCGAGGCAGACCCGCCTACCCAACGGCACCGTACCTGTCTTCCAGGGACTGCCCACCCCTGGGCGATCGGCGGGCGCCGCTGTCCATTCACCTCGAAGCCCCCGCAAGGCGCAGCGGAGCCGCCGCAGTACGGCCGTGGCGGCCCTTAATTTAGTTACATTCAAATAAAACTTTTCGTGCACCTCGGTAGCTAACATTATGTGTATGCCTTTTTTTTTTTTTTTTCCTGTTACGCCGTCAAGGCAGGGGGCAGTGAGGGGAATGGCACAGCCCTCTCATTCCCGGAACATAGTCAATCTCGGCTCTGCGGATTTCACAGAACACTCTCTGCCCGTCGCCGGCTCCAACGAGAAGTAACTTTCCAGGAAGCTGCGGGCCCCCGACAGCCGCCAGGATCGCTGCCGGCGCTGCCCGGGCAGCCGGGGATTCACCCGGGGAGGGGGGGGCGGGGCGCCAGGGAAGGCTCGCGGGGAATACGGCGCACTTTCCCCTAAATCCCTAGTCCGCGCCGGGTCCAGGACTCTCAGGGTTCACCTTAGTCCAACTCCTCCCCCACAACCATTATTAAATGGGGAAAGTCAGACAAGTTAACACCAGAGCCGGCTCTAGAACCCAGGAGTTCGGATCCAATCCGAGGCTCCTTTTGTAACAAGTTGCCCAATTCCGGCGTTTGTTTTGCCTGGTGCGCGGTTTCTTTTTCTCTTTTTTTTCCCCCTGCCGCTTCCAACCCCTTTTAAAGGGGATGAGTAGGTGAGACGCCAAGGTCAAAAAGATGGAGCCCCTAGGGCTGAGGGTCTCCATCCTGCGCGCCTCGGGCTAGTTAGAGGAAAACTAAACCGAAAGCCCCTTCCGCCTACGTTGGCAAGGACAGGAACCCGGCTCGACTTGGTTTCCGCCCCAAGTTTTTAGGTTCGGAGTTGCCAGGCCGAACCTGGCCGGGTTTTGGGAGTCCGGAATCCGATTTCCCCGAAACCGTAGAGACTCGGTTATGGTCTCGCAGAGAGCCGGGCATGGACCCCTGGGAGCGCACTAGCACACTCCAAAGCTGTCTCTCCTTCCTGTGGCCTTCCGGGGACTCGTAACCCCGGGGCATCATCTCCTACTTCGTCTCGGGAGCGGGCTCTGGGAGGGACTTTAGGCGGGCAGGAGTCAGCGAAAGCCTCAGCCTCAACGACCTCAGTCTCGTCCTAAAACTAGCGTCACACTGCGCTGCGCATCTCTTCTGCGGCGGAGAGGGGCTAGAGTCGGTCAGCAAAGACTGGGCCTCTGTGGCCTCAAAATCCAACTTTGAGAAAGGCTGGAATTTAATATGGGGTGTGTGTGTGGGGGGGTGAGAATCTGAGAAGTTAAAATTAAGTAAGTGCACTTAATGGAAATTAAAGAAATCTGCGGTTCCGGGAGCTCAAACCTAGTGGTGTTTTTACCGCTGCTTAACACTAGAGAGAGCCCTCCAGCAAGGCTTGAAACCAACACCACCTTTCTCGCCCCGCCCCTCCTTCCCATTGACCTAGTTTGGCCAGAGCCTTCCGATTTGGAGAAAGCCCTCCGCCCTTCCCCCTCCTCTCTATCCAGGCCGGCCGTTGGATTACTGGTAATCTAATAACTTCAATAACCCGCTGAAAAATCCAAAGGGGAATTTTTAAAGTGCGAAGCACTGTTTAGGGACTGGGACGAGGAATTTTAATAAGGCTGAAGTTGCCGCAGTGAAGCCCGCATCAAGACTCCTGAGGGCTCCCTGTCCCCGCAGCGTCTCAGCCAACTCGCTGCACGGGTCTAGTCGCCGCGGGGCGGCGGCAGGGGGCGAGGTCAAACCTCGGAGTTGTATTTGTGGGGGGGGGGCTTTTTGCGCTTTTAGCTGGGGGAGGAGGGAGTGGGACGAAAGGATAGGCGAAGCGACAATAGATAAAAGCGAATTTGATAAAGCGATGGCCTCGGCAGCCGCTTTGGGTAACCGAGGTGTGTTCGGGGACATTATGTCCTGACTTTCATTTTTATCACGTTTCCTGCCAACACACTCTTGCAAACCTGCAAGCTTCTAGGAAATGCAATAAAATAGAGGGATGTGTTTTATCATCAAGATCAGAAGGGAAGCTGCAAAAGGGACACTCTCCATACGGCCGATTCGAGACAGCCTTTCAAAAGGGCTCGTAGACAATGCCAACAAACCACGTCCCTGGGCAGAGATCTTTCGGCAATCCTGGCTGGACTGGGCGCAGCCTTTGCAAAAAAGGCTGGTGGGGGAGGGGAGAGGCATGATCTCCCCAAGCAAACAATGCCTTTAAAAATCCGATCTGGGCAGAAGTCAGCCAAGGTCTTTATTCACGTTAATGAAGATGGAAGGCACTAACTGTCCTTGGAAAGCGATGAGTCAAACTTGACCGCACTTCAAACACGTTCCCAGATTCGTTTCCAGCCCGAACAGAGGCGCGTTTCTCCGACGCGGCCTCTGACGGCTCCCGCAGTGGGAGAGGCTAAACTCGATCCCGCAGACCTGGGCGGGGGAGACGGCGGCGTCTCCCGCGGAGGAGCGCTTCAGCCGTCGCTAGGGGCCGCTCGCAGGCGGACGCGCGCTTGACATCTTTAGTCACGAGCTCTGAGAAAGAAAACTTGACTAAGGAGCTGTTGTGACACAAATTCTAAGAGGTTTTCACTCTGCCTGTCCACATGACCCCCCCACACACACCTCCGCACCTACACCTGGTTTCTCAACAGGCCACTAAGGGAAGGAAGAGAGGGAGGGAGGGAGGGAGGGGAGAGAGTGACTTCAGGATGCAAAAGTGAGCCTTGGGCACAGGGAGACACTTCTCTACAAGTCCCCAGACTAGACCTGAACCACCTCCCCAGCATATGCATACCCTCGTGCTTTGAAACCCCCACCTCATCCCTCAGCACCAATGTAGGCTTTTCCTGTCTGTTATCGAACATTTTAGGACATACTTTCTAACCAAATTCCTCCAAGACTGCTGGGGAAAGGTTTCCAACGTGCGCTGCCAACTAAGGTGACCTAAGTGGTTAAAATCATAGTTCTGACTGCCGCCGCTTTCTCTTAGATACTTCAAAGGAGCTGGGATACACTCGCCTTTGACTTTAAGTCACTAACATGAAATTCAGAAGTTTACAAATCTGGTCCTGGTTAGGTCACTAACAGGCCCCCTCATCAGGCCTGTTTCCTCAACTGTGAAAAAGAGTCCTAAGTCCTGAAGCCCCTGAGCTCTTAAATGGCATCTTTCCACTACTGACTCACCCTGGAGAAGGGCGACAGTGACAGGAAGATGTAGAGCTCAAAGCAGGTTATTTTTATGGTTTCTCTTAATGGAAGTAGATGTCCATCGCTGAGCGATAGTGAACGGGACAAGCATCTGGGGCCTTTCTAATTGTCATCCGTCTTGTCAAAACTTTGAAGGTCGTATGCTATCACTATTGGAGGGTGCTCTCCCTTTGTTCGATCGAATATCTGGTCAGGATACTGGGAGACCCTAAGGTGAATCGAATCGGTCGGCCCACTGCCCAAGGCAGGGAACTCGATCACGACCCACCACTAGGTGGCGGACTCAGTCCTTTCGAGAATCAGCGTGCGGCCACAGCCTTCCACGCCCGGTCCCCCCCATCCGCTTTTCTTCTGTTTGGTGGGAAGGGAAAGAAAGGGTGCACTTGTCTTCAAAAGGCAGAATGGCAGTCGACGGCATTAGCAGAGTCCTACCAAACACCGGTCGACTCTCACAGTCAGGAATAAACTTCTGATTCCCCACGGAGGAGAGGGACCCCGGGGCCCAAGTGCTGGGTCCCACTTCAGGCTTACTGCGACTATCAAAGGGAAGGGGGCGGGGAGACTGGGTATGGTCTTTTTTGATGGGGCTGGTCTCCGACTGGGAT